TCACTTTGACTCCTTCAGAGTATTCCCAGCTTTTTCTCTGTCAGCAGCAGAGAAAATGGAGCTTTCCAGACTCTTTTCACACTTAATCCAAACAATACCAACAGGTCCCTGAGGCAGAACACAAAATAATAACTATTTCCTAAAAAGCAGTTTTTTGTCCCCCCCGGAGGACAATCCTACAAGAAAAATTAGGTTTCCCAATTCAACACAGCTGATTACCTGGGAAAACATCATCATTTAGGAGGAAAAGAACACCCTGAAGAAGTTTTCCTCACCATTAATTTGTGAACTGAAGATACATTAAGATGCTCTTCATACCTTTACCTCACTGAAATATAGACTGGAGGTGGTAAATAAATCAATCCTTTTCTTTTCCCCCCTCGTTCTCCACACCTATGCCAGGAAACTGGAATAAACATGTCATTAAAACAGCGATCGATGGGAAAGTTTTAAAGCACAGGCAGCAGGGAAAGGTCAGGCCCCAGGATCGATTTTCATATCACAATTTTGGTGTGCAGCTTCCCACAGGGTTCRTGTCTAATACTCTGTTTCATTCTTCTCTCACTTTACGTTTGCATCRGTGAATTTGCTCCGCGCCAGGTTTTTACTCTGGGTTTACTAAGAGGTTGTAATTTATGCAGTGGACTGCTGAGACAACACAAAAAAAAAAAGGTTGGGGAAAGCACTCGGGTGCATCAGAGCATCAGTGAAACCCCAGAGTGGCTCAGTCATGCCAGAACCTCCCTCCAGCACAACAAAACAATAAATAAATAAATCTGATGGTTCCAATTTTAATAACCCACCACAGAGAGCAGCTCTGTGCACCGGGGTGGAGACAAAGCCGATTTCGAGGTTGGAAAGATTCCTCCAAACAGATGAGGATGTTCACAAATAGAGGTTGAAAGAAGTTTTCCAGCTAATGGCAGATAAAATGTCACAGCCTGCAGAGCCCAGTGAGCCACGGAGAACAGAATCCAGCAGCTCGTTAGCAGGGAATGGTTGATGAGGCCTCGTTTGCATCAATTGAGGAAAGGATTTTTCATGTGGTTTTCAAGAGAAACGTTACCCAAGTTTGACTGTCTGGTCATAGGCACAGCAAAAACTCTGAGTTTTAAAAGCCACTATAGAATCTTCGAATGGTTTGGGATGGAAAGGATTTTAAAGTTCATCCAGTGTCACCCCTAGCATGGCAGGGACACCTCCCACTGTCCCAGGGTGCTCCAATCCCAATGTCCAGCCTGGCTTTGGACACTGCCAGGGATCCAGGAATTCTCTGGGAATTCCATCCCAGCCAGGAATTCCCAATTCCCCAGATCCCACCCCAATCTCCCCTTTTCCACTCTGATCCATTCCCTGTGTCCTGTCCCTGCAGCCCTTGGCCCCAGTCCCTCTCCAGCTCTCCCTGGATCCCTCCCTGTCACACTTTACACACTTTCAGAGCAGACCTGACAGCAGAGTCACTGCACAGCCACCAAACCAARCCAAACTCTATTTTGCAGCCTTTCCCTGCTTTGAAATTCCTACTTAGAGCAGGAACTTTCTTCAAAGATTTCCGGGAATCACAGCCCATCCCGGGACAGTCATGAACAAACTGCACAGGGACACATTTCTGGCACACCAATAAAATTCCAGGCATGAATATATTTCAGACTTGAATAAAATCCACTTCCTGCACTATTGAAGGCACTGCCATGCACAACAGTTTGAAAAAAAACCACCTCACTCCACATATAATTAATATTTACCCCGTGCCAAATCACATTTAAAAAAAGGAAAGCTGGGAAACACTTGCCAAGCAAGAAACTTGAACCCCCCCACCCCAAATATAATTAACCTGAGCGAAATGATTAGCAAAATAAATAAGGCTGAAATTTCTGTGATTTTCAAGGGGAAAGAAAAAAATAAAAAAAGGCAAGTCATCATTCAGGAAGGCTCAATTTCCATGGGAAATCACATCCATCGCTCCCCTCTGAAGCAGCGATTTGTGTATTTTWGCAGAGGGATCCAGCGCTCTGATGAGGTTGGCAGTACCTAAAATTTTATCATTATGCTGATGAAAAACGTTTTTCTCGAAATACTTTTGCCTTTGCTTGCACTTTTCATAAAGGAAACTTTAAAAACGGATTTATTGAGCACCATCAGTCTCATGAACCCAAATAAATGAATGGATTTATATCCAAGGAAAAAGTTAATGCATGGAGTGGATAAACTTCCATTCTGCTCTCTGATGGSAGAAGGAAAATTACCCATTTCCCCAATGCCTGGTCTCAAAGCCAAACATTAAAAACTTCCTCATTTTCTTGGGAAATGGGAAAAAAATGGTAAGTATTTGCTGAGGTGGGTAGAATAAGGAGAAAAAAGGTAAAATTCAAATTATTACCTACTGGTCCATTGAGTCGTGTGGATTTATTTATTATTCATAATTCTTCTCTTAATTATCATTTATTCCCTGTAACCACTGCCAAGCTCCAATTCGTGTGTCCATCCTCTTATTTTTACATTGCCTTGAGTATTACCCTAAGACCATAGCATTTATTAATGCAGACACTGCAAATTCTGTCTCAAATTGACAAAAATCAATTTTCTGACTGAACTTTCCTAAATAAAAACGCTTTTCAGATGAAAACATTTCAAAATATTCAGAAACTAAAGGGAGAATCAACAGTAAAAGGAGTAAAGTGGCATCAGGGTAGAATTTTGGATATTTATTCTAAGGTAGATCTAAATTTTATTTTATTTTATTTATTTTATCCAACTCTTGTTAAATAGAAGTTCTAATTTATGTATTGTTAGTGAGTTGGAGGCATTAAAATATAATTCAAGAGTCATTTTTCATCTCTAATCCCAGAAATAAGCACAGCTTTTAACTTTATATAGAGGAGTCCATCTGTACTGTGTATGGATGTGTGAATAAATAATTTATCGAGAAGTTAAAATTAAGATTTCCTTCCTTGACATTCTGAAAGGAGTAAAATACATTTTGCAATCAAATCTGAATGTGGTCATACAATGCTCATGGAACAGCACCAAAATCTGTCAGTTGGAATCAGACAACAAACAGTCCAAAGTTTTGGATATTTTTATGTTTAAATGTTATTTCAATTAAATATTGGGGGAAAAAACCCTATTTTTGAGAAAGAAGTGAGAACTAAACACACAAAATACACCATCTATGGTAAAACAATCCGTAAGATGAATGGAGATAAAAACTTTAATTTTTGTGTCACATCCCAACAGGATTTGTCTTAAAARTACCAAATTAAATTGTTAATAAATCACAAATGCAAGGTCGAGCAGCTTCAGTGCAGCACAGTGGGAACTCAGGTTTTTGTTCTGTTTTTCAACACTGCATCAGTGTTTGTATTTATATCATAAATTATTTACCATTTAAAATGATTTATAATTTAAAATTAGTTTATAGTCCATGTTTTTATTACCTGGACCATTCTACACAGGCAAGACAAAATATTTTATCTGATCAATGTTTCTTGAATGTTTTTAAAACCCAGACTTCAAGCACAATTCATCCCATAAAGACCTTTAAGTTTTACTTATAAAAAAAAACCTTCATCTTTTACAGCTGTTTCATTAGAGACAAAAAAGCCCCTATGCTCTGTTTAAAAACATCTTTATAATTGTAAATATCATRTAAAAATGATAATAAAAAGATCCTTGCTCTGGAAAAAATTAATTAAATGAGTCAGACCTAGAAAAGAACTAAAGCTGTTAATGTTTAATATTCAGTTTGATACTGAATTTTGATATTTATCCCTTTTTTATCATCATCATGATTAATTATTAATTAATTTATTTTGATAAATAAATCTGCTCCCTCTCTTTCACAGACCAGTGCACAACCCCTGGTAGCCCAAAAGTGTCCTGTGACAAAATGCTGCAGTTGCAAACCAAATATTTCCACATTTAAATCCCATTTAGCTCAAGTCTTAAACACTCAAGATGCTCAAAAATAACCCAAGTTTTTCTGTCAAAGCTCAGCTGAAGAGAGACGAGATTTCACTGGAACTTATTGATTTCCTTTATTGCTGACACAAAAAAAAAAAAAAAAAAAACGAGAAAAGCCTGATTTTTTTTTTCCCTGGGACATTAATATAGTCCTATCTAATTATATACTCCATCAACCTAACTTAATTAAATAACAGAATGCTGGGTAGGAAACAACTGAGATATATGCAGACAGTTTAAGTAGTACTAATTACAGCCTAATTTTTTTTAATCCATCATAATGAGCTTTTCTCCCCATTTTCAGCAGAGGACAATGTGTAAGTTCATATTTATACTCGAAGTGCTGTGTTTTCTATTTACAACAACACAGAAGTTCAGCAGACACCAAAATTTCTAAATTTAAAGTGGAATTTTTAATTGCTAATAATAGCTCTGCCCAGGCTTTCAGAATCACTGGAATCTYTGAGGKAAAAAATGMATCAGAAAGGAATATTTCAWTATACAGAAAGGAATATTTCAATATACAGAACGGAATCAAAAAGGGTTTTTCTGGTGTAAACTGCTTTAATACAGCATTTTACACGTTCAAAGCACCTCAAAACATCCTGMAGCTCCCARAAATCTCCAGAATTCCCAGAAATCTCCACAATTCCCATTTCAAGGTACCTTTTGCTCAKCCCCCGGGGTCACAAGGACCCCACCCCACTCTGTCTCTGCAGCACAAAGTGATTATTTGGGCTCAGGAGGAATCAGCTAAGCTTGAGCTTAAAAAGAAAAAAAACCCTGCTCAGGAGGTCAAAAGGGATTTAGAGCAACAGTTGGGATCAGCTCTTACAAGGAAATTCCAACTCATTTGTTGTTGAACATGGATTTAATCCTCAAACCTGCACAGCCCCCAAAGCCCTCACAACCACTTTGTCTCAGGGGCACAAAATTCACTGTTTATACAAAGCAGGTAAATGAAAATAAAAAAAAATTATTAATTTTATTATAAAAAGCCCGGGTTTTGTTTGAAATACAGTTATTAATGAACCAACCTTCTCTTTTGAGCTTCGGCGTCTCTCCTGGCTCGTTCCAATGCCAGTTCCTCAGCTATTCTTTTCTTCAGCTCTTCTTCATTAACTGCAATTAGARGAAAATTCAATGAAATGTTAACAGAACACAACTTTATCCCAAATTACAGAAACTGCCTAATACAGTGCCCTCGATTGTTTATTTTATTTTTTCCACACAGCAGTTGGAGCTGCTTTCTCGTGGTTTAAATATCTTTGAAATGTCAGCACAACACCAGCGAGCCTTTAAAAAATTTTCTTATTAAACAGTTTTTCAATTAGTGCAAGCTTTTGAAAATTAAACAACATACACTATACAKCAAATTAAATATTTTCCTTCAGAAATATGTCTTTGTACAGTAAAACCAGGGGGGATGAGAGACATAAATGCTCAGAAAATGCTGGGTTTTATTCATATAAAACCAAAGGAATTTTTTTTGTGCAATGGATCAAGTATTTTCRGATGTATTTTACACAACAAAGCTTTTATAACATCCTAAATATTCACATTTCTAGGTCCTACACAAAGATTTTGCCCCAAATCCTCCTGATTTTGTTTAAACAAACAGATATGGAAAGAATATTTCTTTCACTTAATTCTGTCAGATGAATCCATGAAAGTTAAGAACAGAAAAAGGAGGGAAGCAGCTTCTTCAAGAATATGAATAAAGGGAGAAAAACTGGAGAGTCACCAATCCCACAAGGCTGAAAAATGCCTATAAAACCACCAAAATCCAGCTAAATCCTAATCCTGGCTGGAACAAAGCTCTGCCCACACTGAACTGAAGCTCTGGCACAGTCTGGATTTCCAGCACAGAAATCCAGGGAATTCCAGAAATCCCCTCCATGGCAGTACAGAGCTCCAAGAGCTGATCCCACCCCAAAACACCCGACAAAACAGAGCTGCTGAATCCAGGAAGGTGACAAAAGCCTTGGAGAGTGACAAAACCACTGCCAGGGTAGGCTGAGCCCAGAAAAATTCATTTTCAGGATCTGCATCTCAGTGACCTCATGTCTAGGACTTGGATTTATCTGCAAATATCCAAAATCATTATTCCATATTCCAATTCCAGTTCAGGCTCCCAGCAATTCTACTCATCCTAAAGCATCCACACAAAACAGTTTTATSAATGAATGAAGGAATTTCATCAACTTTATGGGAGTCTTGACCAACTAATCCAGTTATAAACATCTCAGGAAAAGCAGCAGGAATCGATATCCATCCTGCCAGGCCCAGGAAATGCTGAGATCACAGAAACAGAGGGAAAAGTGGGGGGAAACTTGGGAATTACAAATGAGATTAAAATAAAAATTCAGAGGGAAATACAAACCTTTTAATCTCTATCACAAAGCYGSGTGAAAAASCAAACCCWCATTTTATYTGGATTATGTTGAYATATCAACATTTAAGTATTTTGWTCACCAACATCTACATCACGAAATTTATTGTTCTGGTGGGCAAAAATGAGTACAAGAACTCCAACAGACCAGAGGATGGTTTATGCCATAATGAGAAAAGATTCGGGCACCAGCCAATAAAGACATTTGACCTTAACAATCAATTAGGCCRCCCATCGATCAGCCAAATACTAATAGGGAATAAAAGCAGAGCTATAGATCATTCAATAGAATTATTGTAAGGCATAATTGGGTAGCTCCCAAATGGGAGCTTTATGATGTTTCAGTTAAAAAAAAAAATTGCAGTTCTACGAGGAGGAGGGATTTGTTCTAGAGGAAGAACATTTAAAAAGAAAAAGTAATTTATTGGAGAGAGGGTCAGAAAATGAAGACTGTTTCTAGATAAAGGAATGATATTTGTGATGGCCATCTTGCAGAGCATTAAAAATGCACAGCTGACCACTGAACTGTTAGAGAATGTTAAACCTGGGGGGTGCAAGAGTGTTGAAATATTCATACATTAATATTATTATATTAAAAATTTAATTTGAATACTGCATAGACTTTCTCACCACYGCCCCGTTTAATATTTGAAGAAACTGAAATCAGTGTTAACTTCATCCCAGAGCAGCCAAACTGGGATGATTTTCAGGTAAGTACATTCAGGCAGCATCCCAGAGCTTTCCCTGCTCCTGCAGCAGCACAGGACAGTCACCGCCTGAGCGTTAATGCACAGCTCCCGTCACAAACCAATTTGGAGAGATGGGCACTAATGGGAACACRCTGCAAACCCCACAGAGCTGCAGGCACAAAGAGCTGCTCTGGCCCCTCAGCAGGACCAGGGGATGTGTGCCTGATTGGCAGCGTTCTCCTGGGATAATGGGAACGGAACACTGCCAGGATAATGGGAACAGAACACCCCGGGATAATGGGAATGGAACACCCAGGGGAGGCTGCACAATGCTCTGAGTGACCAAACTGCTCTGTGGAAAGGAATGGGTGGGCTGGGTTTGTGTGGCCAGGGTTTAATGCCCCCCCCCCACACTGGAGGGGCTTCTGAGCCAATTCCAGCCAGTTCCAGGATGGATTCACCCAGTTGGGCCAGCCAGGAATGGTGGGGATACCTCCAGGATAACAGATTGAAGAAGAAAAATACAATTTATTGAGCAGCTGAAATTGTGGTCAGAGCAGGGAAGGGCGAGAACATGGAACAGAATAGCCCTGAAGACACCCAGGGCAGGGCAGGAGAGGCAGGAGCTGGGATTCCCATGAGATTCCACAGAGAAACCCTAATTGACAGCGTTCTCCTGGGAACACCCTGGGATAATGGGAATGGAACACCCAGGGGAGGCTGCACAATGCTCTGAGTGACCAAACTGATCTGTGGAAAGGAATGGGTGGGCTGGGTTTGTGTGGCCATGGTTTAATGCCGCCCCACACACACTGGAGGGGCTTCTGAGCAAATTCCAGCCAGTTCCAGGATGGACCCAGCCAGTTCAGCCAGCCAGGAATGGTGGGGATGATAATAAGGACTAAATTTTGTTACTTCTAGACCATGCACTGTCTTATTTCTAATTGAAATTATTATAAATTGATTGATACCCACATTTACATTGGAAAATAGAGAATGTAATATAACAGGGATGTATATCTGGGATAATGGATTGAAGAAGGAAAAAATTAAAAGTTCTTGAGCAGCTGGAATAGTGCCCAGAGCAGAGCAGGGTGAGAACACGGGACAGGAGCAGCCCTGCAGATACCCAGGGCTGGGCAGGAGGGGCAGGAGCTGCTCCAGAGCTGGGATTCCCATGAAATTCCATGGGGAAAGCCTTCATTCTGTTTTCTCTCCCCATCCAGCTGCAAAGGGGACTGAGGAGAGGCTTTGCTGGAATTTAGACAGGGCCAACAGTGATAAAAATCAGAGAGGTCCGGCCAGGATCAGGGCAGACCAAGCAGGGACTGTACAGTGCAAGGATCTTTCGCCATTTTGGTGCCCTCCAGGATACACCACCCTGACTTTTCTTATTTGTCCATTTATTCTTTAGGAAAAGTTTGAAAGAATTTCTCTTCCTAATATCAATTCTAAACATTTGAAGGACTGAAAGACTTCTCACTTCCCAACACTTCTCGAGGTTTTAGACAAATAAAATGTGTTCTGTCTTGGAACTCCAAAAATCACCCATGAGCAGGATGGGAACAAAGCTTCACACAATGACAATCCTTGAGAAACCATCAGTGATTTTTTCCCCCAAGTTTGGTACAGAAAGATTTTTACAACTCAGCTATTCTCATAAATTTGACTCCAAYTCCTTGGCCTTTGCTAATCACAAAATCCAAATCCGTACCTTTTTCCTCTCACTCCAAAGCAGCTGCTTGATGGAAAAGGAACACTCAGCAGGATGTCAGGATTACCCCCCAAGCTGTAAACAACACACCTCAGGGAAAGCAGACACCTGCAGCCTCAGAAATGTTAGCCTGAGAAATCACAAATGKGATATGGACAAATTATTCAAATAACTTCCAGCCTGCAGAGCTGGGAATCTGCCCATTAGCCCTGCATTTGCAAAAAAAAAAAAAAATTAATGCAAACAGAATTTATTAGCAGGTACCTTCACTAAATTCTCTTGAAAGGCCAGGTGCATTAAGCTATTAACGAAGAGACACTTTGGTTTCATACAATCAAATGACTTTTAAAAAATACTTAGCTAAGTAATATTCTGATAATGATTTTTTTTTTAAAAAACCCAAGTTGTGTTTTTCCTTCTAATTAAGCGTAGTTGTTTAAAAGAAAAATAAAAATATTGGCCAGTGAACAGAATACTGGAAGGTGGCTCCAAGATCTCCACGTAACCTACTCCTCTCCAGGCTGAAGAGCCCCAACTTTCTCAGTCTCACACATTTCAAGATGTATTGAACATATTTCATCTTTAACCTTATAAATATCCTAAATCAGCAAGCCTGATTTAACCTTATAAATATCCCAAATCTTGCACCTCATGAAAAAAATAACAAACCATCCCTTCAATCCACCAGCACTACAAGAAAACACTAAAAGCACTAAAAAAATAAGTTATGTGCTTTAAAAACCAGCTTTTAAACTGTTGTGGGTTTTCTTAAATATTATTATTTTCAAGAGGATTCTCAAGAATAAAYTCTACTTTCAGATTCATACAAATTTAACTACCAACACATCCAGCAATGTTTCTCTGAAATTCCCAATTCCAGGCACTTCCTCCAATCATGAATTCAGCACAAACATAAAGCTCCCCTCCAAGGACAGAAATTTGTATTAACTGTTAAATATTGGTAATGTGCAAGAATATTTCAGACGAGCTCACAGGATAATTAAATAGGAAAACAATGCAATTAAGTGTGAATAATTTAAAAATATTTAATATTTTACTTTCCAAAGGCRCTCTCGCATATATTACATCCTCTATTTTCCAATGTAAATGTGGGTATCAATCAATTTATAATAATTTCAATTAGAAACAAGACAGTGCACAGTGTAGAAGTAACAAAAAGTTAGTTCCTATTATATTTGGAACATTCTCCTTTCAATATCATATTAATGTTGAGATAAAGTAAATCACACTGGATTTATGACAGGGCTGGAAAAAACAAGGAGAGCAGGATTAGRAGATTTTCCCCCGTGATTGTTGGAATCAAATT